GGAAAGAGGTTCCAGTCGAAGTGAAAGAGCTATGTCTTTCCCTGCTCCAAACAACGGAGATGGCATTGTACTTGGAGCTGTGTGTGGTGCAAATTTGCAAGATACGTCCTGTTTTAGGTCGAGTGGATAACTTCTCCCAAGAGTTCAAAAAGCTTATGAAAGGTATACCCTCCTTATCCCTTTCCTTCCTCGTTTTTCTTTTCCTTTTTTAAAAATTTGTTCAAGTAGCCATAAAGTTGATGTATTTGTTCTGTTGTTGTGGTTCAGCTGTAGAGACGCATGCCTACTTGGAACCAACAATGGATTCCCTGAAACAAGTAACTTCGTTTGTTTATCCCTCATCGTATTGAGCCGTTTCTTTTTCTTGATTTGTTTCTAATCCCCAGATAGGATGTAGCTTTAGTTGCAACAGTATGTATGTGTTGTGTTTTTAAGAAATGGAATTCTCCATGAGTCATTGATATATCGTTTTCATATACTCTGTAATTATGGATCTCTCTCTCATGGTTTCACATGTTATTGTTATTTTTTTTTTTTTTCACTTTAGAAATGGGTTTTGTTATTGGTCACAACATATATTTATTTCCTCTGGGACAAGGAAATCAGTCTTTGCAAATCTGGGCCGTCTATTATCTAACTGCTGCGTGTTCATACTACATTTTCAACCGTACGATCATAAAACTCGTGTACCCCTATATAGAGTACCTCTCCTGCTTTAAAAAATCCATAGCCAACGCCGACGGCAATCATGGCGCCGGCAGTACCTTCAGCATGGGGAAAGCCCGGCACTTGGGCCCTCGACGCCGAGGAACACGAGGCCGAGCTCCATCACCGACCGCTGCCTTTGAACCAAAGCTCCACCTCCGATGACTCCGCCGAGTTTCCCAACTTCTCCGCCGCCACTGCCACGAAGACCAAGAAGAAGAAGGCTAAGACCTTTTCTCTCGCCGAATTCTCCTCCTATGGCTCTCGCAAGAGAATTATATTCCCCCGGGGGGGGAGTTGGGGGGAGATGGAACACGCGGATGGTTGGTGCTTTAAAAGCTGCCGAACAGATTCAGATCATATTTTGCTTATTTATTTGCTACTTGCTGGGCCATCATGGCAGCTTCATTCATCTTACAATGGGCCTGGGCCTGGGCCTGGGCCTGGGCCTGAGTTGGTACCAATTTAATCATGACATATTCGTTGACATTGGGGCTTTATCATGATTAGATACCCATTAATTCATTACATATTGGTTGACATTGGGCATGGACCTCATTATACAACACATTCGTTGACTTTTTATGTATATGCGTTGTCTTGTTGACCTCATTGCAATGTAGACGTCAAGAGGAGCATGAATAATTGCGTGTGTAAAAAATGCATCATAACGAGGAAACCGACGTCGTTTGGTTTGTTGAACCAAAAGTCACCACACCTCTCTCTCTCTGTGTCAGCCTGATTACTGTTTCCATTCTGTGTAATCATTTCTTCCCATATTCCTTTGATTTTATACATCTTTTTCTTTTTTAAATCCTGCTAGTATTTATTTTGATATATATATATATATTGCATTAAATTTCTAAAATGAATATATGTTCTGAATTCCAATCCTGCATGAAAAGAGAAATGTAGCAATTAATGTGATTTTACTGAGAAAGAAAAAGACTAAAAAAGAGACGTCGAAATGTCCCATCCACCTCACTTCTTTGACCGGTCTCATTGGCATTTGACTGCAATTTCAAAATGCAAAAATGAAAATAATATATATATATACATATTGTGTATACACACACACACGTACGAGAATAAAAACATAAAACAAACGACACGCAGTTTGCGTTCCCGAAATGTGGGGCCAGTTAGGATACCTGCCAACCTGGGTCAACTCATAGTGTTGACCGCTCCAGTCCAGACATTAAATGTCAAATTAAAGTTCTTGCATTCCCCAAAGTACCCTTCTCTCCATTAGATATTTTCGGTTTCTGCGAGCTCGAAAAAACACATTTGTTTCTTTAAAAAAAAAATATTTTCTGTCAAGATAAAAATATGACAGATGATTTCAATTCCAACCTTCGAGGTCGGACGGCCGTAATGGACATAGTGTTATTCCAACCGTATACACTTTTTTTTTATTATCTAAATATGTGATCCATATGAATATGAATATAAATATAGTTGGATACAAAATCAGTTCGGATCGTTTTGGATTCGGCTCGTTTGACTCAGATAATTTTGGGCTAAGTTCGTTAGGCCAGAAAAATCTCGGCTCAAATCGCTCGCCAGAAAAATCTCGGCTCAGATCGCTCGCCAGTTTTTCAATCTGAACGAACCGACTTGTTAAGTCAGAGATATATAATATTTTTTATTTATATTTATTCTAAATTTAACTATAAATTTAAATAAATACATAAAAAAATTAGTAAAACTCCAATATCATTTAATATTTTCAATTACCACCATCATAATAATTAAAATATTTATAATATCATATGAATGATATGAAAAAAAAAGAATATAAAATTATATTAGAGTTTTTTTATAAAAAATTAATTTATTTTTTAAATAAAAATCAGTTCGTTGAACAACTCGCTAGTTCACCGAGCCAGGCTTATTGAACACGTATTCAATGAATCTGGCTCGTTAGACTCATTTTTTAATAAGCTGAAAAAATCACAGCTCAGATCGCTCGTTTTCTAGTGAGCCACGAACCAGCTCGCGAGCCGGGCTCGTTTTGATACCCCTACATATTACATAATTTATATTATTTTTATCAAACGATTACCAAAATATAATAAATTAATATAATCACTATAAATTTAACGTTATGATCAATAAAATTAGCATATGATCAAAACATATTTTTGATCACATACATCATGTAATCACAACTGAATAAAGATACGTGTTAAAATCAAAATATTAAAAAAATATTTTTGATATATTACGTGTTCAATATTTTCACAATTATTTTCTTTTTCTATTTTAATTTCTTTTTAGAATTTAATTAATATTTTTATTTGGATAGAAGCGTTTAAAAAATGAACAAGATAACTTTTGTAGTCCATGTATAATAGAAAACGAAAAAAAATCGAACAAAATCTTATTAAAAAATTATGAATTGTTATAGACAGTGTCATTATTTTCGGTTGGCTTTTTCCTCGATAAAATTAGTTATAATAATTAATAAAATAAATATCCAAATAATAGAGGAGTGCAACGTGGCACGCATACCCTTTCCACACCTCTTCTGCGCGTATAAACAGCGCTTGCCTCTCTTCGTGAAGGGCAGAGAGGGAGAGAGAGAGATCTCATCGGTAAATTTCGAAGAGAGAGGGAGGGATCGGAGAGGTGTTCAGAATGAGCGGTGGAGACCGGCGGAGAGGGACGGTGAAGTGGTTCGACACCCAGAAGGGTTTCGGTTTCATCACCCCTGACGACGGTGGCGACGATCTCTTCGTTCATCAGTCTTCCATCAGATCGGAGGGATTCCGAAGCCTGGCTGCAGACGAGGTGGTCGAGTTCGAGGTCGAGATCGACAACAACAATCGCCCCAAGGCCGTCGACGTCTCAGCAGCCGTGGTCCTCCAGGCGGCAGCGGCGGTTACGGAGGTGGCGGAGGCCGAGGAGGCGGACGCGGGTACGGCGGCAGAGGAGGCCGAGGCAGCGGTGGCGACGGCGGGTGCTTCAAATGCGGTGAGGCCGGCCACATGGCGAGGGACTGCAGCCAGGGCGGGGATGGCTACGGCGGTTACGGGGGCGGAGGCAGGTACGGAGGCGGTGGGGGCGGGAGCTGTTACAGCTGCGGAGAGTCGGGGCATTTCGCCAGGGATTGCCCAGGCGGCGGCCGTTGAAAGGGGCATGACCCGTCATTTGAAGGTGTTTCGTTAGCTGCTTTGTGTGTTTTCATTGTAGGAAAACGGGTGTGGGGTTATGGTTGCTTGTGGAGAAGAGTAAGAAGCTTTTTCAGTCTTTCATGGGGATTTTCTGGTGTACGTAGAGAGCTGTCGCTCGGTTTCACGTCTTCATTCGCTGCCTTCTCTTTCAGTTAAAGCTAGTGCTCTGTTTCAAGTGTTCATACACATGGATCAGCATCACATATATACATACATATGTATGTATAGCTTCATGTTTCAAGTGAATCTAAAAAGAACAACCCAAGTCATAATTCAAACGGAATATTACTGTTCTTGCCGTTGGCGTTCGGATGTTTTTACTCTATACCGGTTAATATCAATATCCATTTTGTTTTGTTTTTTCAAAAGAAATTTTCACATATGCATTTATAATTAATATTATCCAGAATTTTATTTAGAAAAAAAAATGAAAATCTACAACCCAAAAGTCTTGGTAATGGGCCTCCATAGGCCCATTTATGCCGAAATCGGAAATTGACACAGCCACACGCTCGAGGTTAGGCAAATGATTTCATCCATAACTCGTACTGGTTTCAGCAGACGTCCGTTTTCTTGGCAGTTACCGCCGTTAGTCAATCAGCTAAACCGTCTCGTCTGGTCCTCGTTGGGGATTCGTCTACTGTGCATGAGGATGCCGATAAAGGTGAATCCTCACTCCCCTCAAAAGAGGGAGCCTTAACGAGAAGAATCCTCTGTTGTTAGCCATACCCTTATCTGCGGTGGATCTATCATCTTACGGCTGTATCCGCTCCACGTGGCGAAGCAGTTGAAATTTGGGTCCAGTAAATTTGTCTCATCATCAGAGATCTGTATTCTTTTTTTAAATATCCGTATCCATCCATAAAGTTTCCGACTCTCCCTGCATGAATTCATATGGTGGGTCCAATTTTTTTATATGGGCCGAGTTTAAGGCCCAATATGAGGGTCCGCTCGTGCGGAAAATAATGACAGTGAAATTGAAGCCATTCGGGCATTCCCTGTTACAGATCGAAGGACGACTCCTCCTGATATTTTTTTCTCCTGCGGAGACAACTTTGTCCGTATTTCCAGAAACGATGGGACCAATTAATTTTATATTTTTAAAAATTAGAAAAGTTAATGGCTTCAGGGTTCACACTGGACTCAGCCTCTCTCTCTCTCTCTCTCTCCCCCTCTCTCAATCTCAAGATCAAAGCTCTGGACTTTTGTAGGGAGCATAGAGGTAGAAGAAGGCGGAAAAATGGGGTTTTCTCCTCGTAGCTCTCTCTCTCTTCCACTGAGCTTCGTTCTCCTGTTCTTAGCTTCCAGAGGTATAAAGAAAATTTTACCGAAACCCTTCTTATATCTCACTGCTTTAGCTCTGTTTCTCCTTTGGGTTCTGAGATTTCAGTTCTTTTCCCACTCTGTCTTCGAGTTTAGGAAGAAAGTCACCTACTTTGCTTTTATACTCTAATGGGTATTCTTGAAAATCTCCCATTTTTTTAGGGTTTATCTTTCGTATTTTCGTTAGAATGTCAGTTTCACTTGTCGCTGATCTATTGTCGTTTTAGGTTCGCTTGGCTCGACGTTCACGTTCGTCAACCGCTGTGGCTCCTCCGTCTGGCCGGGCATTCTGGCTAATGCGGGCTCACCTGCGCTCGCCACCACCGGCTTTGAGCTCCCCAAGGACACGACACGCTCCCTCCAAGCCCCGACCGGTTGGTCCGGCCGGTTCTGGGCCCGTACCGGATGCGACTTCGACCGCTCTGGTTCCGGCTCGTGTGCGACCGGAGACTGTGGCTCCGGTCAGGTCGAATGCAACGGTCTCGGCGCTGCGCCGCCCGTGACCCTGGCGGAGTTCACGCTCGGCTCCGGAGGCAATGACTTCTACGACGTTAGCCTCGTCGACGGCTATAATCTCCCGATGGTGGTCGAAGTCTCCGGTGGTTCCGGCGAGTGCGCCGCCACAGGATGCACAACCGACATCAACCGGCAGTGCCCGGCGGAGCTACGCGTCGGGGACGGCAACGCGTGCAAGAGCGCGTGCGAGGCCTTCAGAAGCCCCGAGTACTGTTGCAACGGGGCGTACGCCACGCCTGCCACGTGTCGGCCGTCTGTGTACTCGGAGATGTTCAAAGCGGCGTGTCCTCGTTCGTACAGCTACGCCTACGACGACGCCACCAGCACTTTCACTTGCTCCGGCGGAGACTACACCGTCACGTTTTGCCCTTCCTCCCCCAGGTAAAAGGCTTTGGATTCTTTCCAATTTTATTATCATTTATTATTTATTTGTATATTTACTTTGAAACAAAATCCGAACTTATAATTGATTTTTGGCATATCCCCTTTGAACGTTAGAAAATGAGTATTTGCTTCGTTGTAAAAGCTGAAGTTCGTCGCTTCTTTTCATGTCCCCGTTTGTAAAGGGCGAAAGACTCTATTTGCTCATCATTATTTTATGTATCTCTATTCTCTCCTTTATTTTATTGACGAATAAACGTGTTTTTAGGGTCAAAAAACGACAGTATGATGTTTTAAAAGTTGAAAAAAACCCAAACTTTTGTTATATGCTTTGAAACCTAACCAAATCGTGTATGGTTTGGTGTCACCAACAGCCAGAAATCGGCAAGTTACTCGGCGCCGGTGACAGGCTCGTCCGCTGCCTCACAAGGGTCGGATCCTGTGCCCGGATCCGAAATGGGGTACTCGGGTCAGGGATTTGGATACGGGTATCAAGGAACCGGGTCGGAGTCGGGTCAGACCATGCTGCAGGAGCAGGACGGCTCGTGGTTGGCTGGTCTCGCCATGGGTGGCTCACCAAGAGCGACGGGCTCTCCTCCGGTGGCGACGCTGCTCTCCGCATTTACCGTTATGCCCCTGCTGTATGGGTTTATTTACTTGTAGCCCTTTGGTCTCGTACGCTTGTCTATTTCCTCCGTCTTTTGGGTCTTTTCATTTGTCCGAAAATGTTGGGCCCCTTCTGTAAGTGTTTTTTAAAAATGTTTTCTTCGATTTGCCCAAAACGATTAGGTGCATTTTGATAGAATTGGAACTTGAGGGGTTATATTGGGTCAAATACAAACAAGTGGGGTCAGAAATTGAAAGGTGCGAAAATTGTGAATGATGCCGCTGAGCCTTCGGTGCCTTTTTCAGCGGTTCATGTTGAGGGACAGACGCTCACGTGAAATCTACTCTCGAGTCGAGCCTACGCACGCAACAGGCGCAAACGAGAATGAGTTTCATGTGGTGACTAAATAACGTCGGCCCAATATTGCACATTTTGCTAATATTGGGCCTTGAAGTCAAATTTATTTGGGCTTTTGTTGAAGCCCATCTTGGAGTTTGCTACAAAAGGAAAGTGCTTGCTCATGCCATTCCTCCATGTCAAATTAAATATTCAACGACATACCCCTTTACTATAATAATAATAATGGTAGGATAACTTGTACGATAATTATCTCATAATTTGACCCTCAAAATTCATTCAATATTTTCCAATTAAAGTATTAAGATGATATTATCTATATAGTACAAATACGATATATTTTGGGGGGGGGGGGAATGGTGGAATTCATACAAATAAATTCTATTAGGTTGGTATATCGCATAATACAGTAGATGTCCAAATAGCTATATTTGGAAGTTAATTATAATTTAATTTAGCTAAGGTTCTTCGATCATCTTCGCACCGCCGCTTCGACGGTCGTCGCTACTGTTCCCACCACAACAAAACGATAAATTAAAAGAAAAAAGGAAAAGGATCAGCTTGGTCACCGTCCTCCATCCGTCCGTCTTCTTCACTGTACTCTATCTGTCTCTCTGCACAAGATCAGAGCTTTCTCTGTCCAAGGACCATGGCGGCCGCTGACAGCGACCCCGACAAACCTGTCTCCTTACACGACGACTCTTCCTCGTCGTCTCACCCTCTTCTCTCGAAACCCTCTTCATCGGCAATCGATTCCCCAGGTCGACCTGATCTGGAACCCGACCCTACCCAGTTCCTTCAGATCTCCTACAATTTCGGCCCCAGACCTTTCAAGGACATTCCCTTTCTAGTTCTCTTCGACCTTCTCGTCCTTTCCACCTTTGGTTTCGGTATCTTCTCCATTTTCCACAGGAATACCGAGTACGGTAACGTATCCTCGTACACATATGATTTCAGCTCTACATCCTGCGTAAAAAATTCCACCTTGACGGCTTCCTTTGACGGGTTCTGGGTTTCGAGTATCCAGTCGGGTCGAAACTCTTCCTCGGATGCGGACTTCGAGAAGGATTTAATCTGGACCCTTGCTGTGACTCTGATTTTGAGCGTGCCCTTTTGTTTTCTGGTGCTGCTTTTGCTTAAGCACTACACTAAGCAGATAGTGTATGCTTGTTTACCGTTCTTTGTTGTATTACCAATCTTTTTCAATGTCTACTGGTTCGTCGCTTGTACTGTTAGCTCTTCTTGCAGCGATGCGCTTCCTCTAGGCTACAGAATTATCGTTCTCGTGTTTATTTTCTTAATCATCGGGATCATCGTCTGGATTTTCATAGCGAATTGGCACAGAATTGAGCTGACCATCCAAATAATAGGGGTTGCTTCTGATGCCCTGTCCAAGAACCTGGGTCTCTTTCTCGTGTTGCCGTTGTTGACTCTCGGGTTGGCTGTGTACTATGCGCCCATCGTCGTGTTCATGGTGTTTGCGAGGTTCAACGGGAAAGTTGTGCCAAAGGAATCAAACGGTGAATATTACTGTGTTTGGAAGGAAGACGGTTGGGTTGCAGCATATTACGCCCTGGCCATTATTACTATGCTTTGGTCTCTGGCTGTGATGGTGGAAATTCAGGTTTATGTGATAAGTGGAACAATTGCTCAGTGGTACTTCTCCAAGGAGGACTCAACCCCTAAAAAATGCATCCGTAGCTCTTTGAGGTGAATTTCAATTCCCCCAGCTATCTTTGTAGACTAAGATTATTCCTCTGTGTCTGTTTTCTCTTAAATTTTGCTTCTTTATACCTACCGTTCATCATATCCAGACAAAGTAGCTCGTTCTTGATTATTTGGCTGCTCTCCAGTCCTTGTTCTTTGTCCTTTTGTGTAAATTTAGATTGAAAGGGTCAAGATTCATTTCATTTCCAGTGTCTGTTGTGGTTTTGTTTAGACATATCACATATGTGACTCTTTATCATGTCTCCATCTCTGCAGGAATGTGTTTGGTCCGTCCTTTGGCACAGTATGTCTATCGGGGCTTCTCATATGTATAGTTCGGGTGGTTAGAGCCATTGCAGACAATGCGAGGCAAGAGAATCCGCAAGGAATAGTCAACACGGTTCTCCAATGCTGTGCAAATGCCTTGGTTGCAGCTGTGGATTATCTCAACAAGTTCACCGTCAACTTTGCTGCAATAACGGGCGGAGCCTACTGCACATCAGCGAAAATGACTTACGAACTTCTGAGACGCAATCTCCTTTCTGCTGTCTTTGTGGAGACCGTTTCTACGCGTTTGCTGGCTGGAATCATCTTCGTTCTTTCGTCCGTTTATGCAGTCGCTGTAAGTAACTCCTCTGATTCTCAGCATGATATGTTTAGTCAGTCAATGATCATTGCAGAGATTTTCGGTTTCAACTTTCCTGAACTTCCAGAATCACTTAGCCAACCTGCCCATCATGATGCCTTATGACATATTGCTCACGAGATCTCTGTTATACCTTAAAAAACTCAGAATTCAAGCCCATTTGATATCCTGTCTTACTTGATACATGTTCCTGGAATTGTTCTCTTGGCCTTATCATTTCATCATCCTGTTGTGATTGGGTTGTTGGGATTGTGGAAAACAGACATGGGGGATCCTGAAGGGAGTGAGCGATCTTGGCGTTGATTCATACATAGTGGCTGTCCTGGCGTGGGTCTTACTGATTGTGATTCTGGGTTTCTTCGTGCACGTCCTGGATAACGTTATAGACACAATTTACGTGTGTTACGCCATTGACCGCGACAAAGGTGACGTCTGTAAGCAGGAAGTTCACGAGGTTTATGTTCATTTGCCCATCAGCCGAAGCGCCAGCTCCGGTTTTGTCCCTCAACCATCTCTCAACGTGTAGTTTAGGAAATAGAGTCATCAGTCTCTCCACTTGTTGTATCCTCTTCCATTCTGCCTTTCTTTTTTTGGTCGCTTTGCCATTCGTTGCTTGTCTCTGTAAATTCCTTATGCCCCCCTGAATCTGGAGATGACTCTTTGTAGAGATATGGGGTTTCACCTTTAATAAAACTGTGAAAAATCAAAGCTTTTTCTGGAGAAGAAGGACCAAGTGTAGGACACGGAGAGGTTAAATGGAAACGAAAGCTAAATGTCAGGGGCTACTGAGTAAATTAAAGAAAAAATGTATACGGCCTATATAAACACACTGTGAATGCAGAATGCTGGAGCAGGATTCTGCACGTATTCCCTGCGACTGTTCGAAGGTTCTCTTCTTTGTTGCAGCAAGATGGTTCTCGAGGCAAGTCATCGAACAAGCTCAGATTCTGATTTGAATGTTTCGGCATCTTCCTTTGTTTTTATGTTCAATGTGAATCCTTTAGTATGTTTAATGCTTCTCTTGGTATCTTCTTTCAGGCAACTATGATATGCATCGATAACTCCGACTGGATGCGGAATGGAGACTATTCTCTGTCTAGATTGCAGGCTCAGATGGAAGCTGTTAATCTACTCTGTGGAGCTAAAACGCGGGTGAATTTGTTGATCGTTTTGGCTGAATATGATTAGGCTTTCTGATTTGTGGTGTCGGGATTTGATCTATGGAATTGCAGTCGAACCCAGAGAATACGGTCGGTATTTTGACAATGGCTGGGAAGGGAGTTAGGGTTTTGGCTACCCCAACCTCTGATCTTGGCTAAATTTTTGGCTTATATTATGCATGGTATGTCCCTGCGAGAACCGACTGGATGTTTTTAAAGCATTTCGGCTTACAACCGACTGGAGGCTCTTGTTGCAACTGTTAACCATAATGACTGCAGCCACGTTGTTCACGTTCCACCTGGTGCTAATGCTCTTTCAGATGTCCTTCTCAGGTACCTCATCATGCTTTGTAGTTTCTATATGGGACACCTTAAGCTTTAGAGTATGATGGCAATTACATATTATTTTGAAGTTTAAACAACTAAGAAATCGAGTTCGAAATTCATACACATGCAAGTGCTGAATTTGCGATGCACCCGTTTTCACCGGAGATTTCCCTACTATCTATATCTCGCACCAACAGACGCTTAAGGCAAATAGACGAAGGTGGATATGCTTACAGTGCCGCAGAAACGGCGGCGGCAGCCGTGGGGTTATTTGACTTTGATGTGGATCCAAATATTGATCCAGAGCTGGCTCTCGCTCTAAGAGTGTCCATGGAAGAGGAGAGAGCAAGGCAAGAAGGCATCTGAGGAAGCAGCTCGGAAGGACAAAGGAGAGGGCTCGTCTTCTGTACCACATGATACAGTGGCTAGGACTACTGAGACAAATGCTGAACCAGCGGTGGGTTGGCTGTTCATTATAGGCGCACTGTTATGTCCTATTTAATGATCTAACTTTCGTTTACTGACATTGCTGGAGACATTGGTTTTATGCCTGTTTTTTTTACCCATTGAGCATGTCTCAGGAGGAGGATAAAGCGCTGCCGGAACAGGCATTTGCTATGTGTGTAGGTGAGGTTAACATGTCAGAAGCGACTGATGAAGATGAGGGCTTGGCTTTAGGTAAGTGCAATTGGGTGATGCCACTTAGGAACTCTATATTAATCCTGCATTTAGGGTGTTATAAGTAATGCACAGTCAACGATACGCATTCCATCCCTGTTCTGATGGGCAACAAGAGAACTTTGGCCTGGAGTCCTAGTTGCAGCGTTATGGGTTTTGTCCCTACAGTTGCCTTGCCTTTGGGTATAGCCAGAAGCCCACAGAGGAAACGTTTGGGACTCTTTAGTGATATACCTAAGATCAAGGTCAATGGCATTGCTCAAAACTCATAAAGCCAAAGTATCTCTGAGTTTTTAACTTGTCTTCTCATTCTCTGTGTAGCTCTGCAAATGTCGATGCAAGGCTCTAGCGGGCCTGCAGGCACAGGCGGCATCCTTGGTGATCAGGCTTTCATATCGTCGGTCCTCTCATCTGTAAGTTGATTGAGGGGTTTCTAAGCAATTCAGAACAAGTGCAAGGTTTTTTTTTGGGTAACCGGATGTCATGGGTCGAGGTACATACTAATCTCGTAGACGGAAGCAAAACATGTGATTAGAATTTACGTTCTTCTCTCCAACTTGAGGCTCAAACTCGGGGCGAGACACACGCTTTGCGCCCCCTTTTCAACGGTTGAACTGTCCAAATTGGATAACAAGTGCAAGGTTATTGTAATGGCAGGGTTCAAATTTCTACAGCTTCCTGAGGATGACAAGTGATGTTGGCTTTTGTGGGCATAAATCCGGTTCAGGCCCCATCCCTCTCCTGATCCCTTCAAAACATGGAACATTATTGACATTGTTAGTTACAAAATTTTAATTATATGATTAGACCATGTCAACAAATAAAGTGCAAACGTGGAAGGCCCCACCATTGTGTGACCGAGGATACTTAATTATATCAATCCCATATGTCACCATCATACACACACTTAATTACCATGCTAACCAAATTATTATTTAATCGGAATCATTTTGTAGCATTTCTGAAAAAGGGTCAAATTTTCCATTTTGTTTATCTAACATAATATTTTATGTAATAATATACACACGCACAAAATCGAACCGTTTTTAGAGTGACGTATCAAATCGAACGATTTAATAATTAAAATAGAGAGGCTAATAATTGGTCTTTTTAAAACTTGATATTTCTTTCAAAATATCTAACAGAAGCTTCTATTGCATCCACCTAACACCTTTGAAAAAGCCTTTTAAATAAATTAAAATTTAAAAAACTTTTATAGAAAGGGCAATGGGCAGGTGGTGGTGTGGTGTCTGCCTCTTGTCTTTTCTTCATTTCACTTGCTCGTGCTCCTTATTTCTTGCCCTTCTCCTTATCCTCCCCTCTCTCTCTCTCTCTCTCTCTTGTTTTTTTCTTCTTTTTCTAATGTCATATCCCAAAAATAAAAGATGTCCCCACTAAAACTCAAAAAAAAAAAAAATTATCCAAGCTTAGCATGTGTTTTGTAGGGAATATGCATAGATATAATCAAACGGGCATTAATTAGTGTAATCTATCCAAGCGGTTGGTAACCGATTTAAATGTATGCATGTATGTATGTATGCATATATGTATGTATGTATATATGTGTATGTGTGTATGTATGTATGTGTGTATGTATGGGGTGGATGCAAGTGGAGAAAAGATGAAGAAGGTTGGTAGGTTGGTAGGGAGATGGGTGAGGATGAGAAATAAATTGAGTTTGGTAGAGAAAAGGGTCCATTTGGTTGTTTGATTTGATGTCTGCATTTATTCATCTTTTCCTCCTCACACATCTTATCCCTCCTCCTCAATTATCAAACTATATTATATATATATATATATATATGTGATCAATTATGTAGGTTCGGTGTGGTATATGAATTTATTATTATGATTTTTTTTATAATGATATAATCGTTGCCATAAAACAATTTATGATATCTATCCATCCGCTACTATAATCAAACAGGCGTAGATTTATGTGGAAGAAATATCTTGCATGGAATCTTTGAAATGGTCAGCATCAAACTAAAAACAAAACACACTAGGAAATAAGTTATAAACGAATTTTAATTTGGAAAATGTGTATAAAATTCTTCATATTTTTTTTATACGAAGCTTAAATACCGCATTTTTATACTCAAAACTATACAATTATATTGTGCAATCTCATTCACTAATTACAAAAAGAAAAGGAAAAAAAAAAGAGAGATCACATCTACATCGTAATCATTTCATTTCCAAAGCCCTAAATTCCAAAAATACTATTTCTATTATCTGCGATACCTAAAAAATCATAACCGGGGCCAACCATGACATCACTGCTGCTGCTGGAGATGACTCCGACTACGTCGCATCTCATTTCTCCGCAGCCGCACTCCGTTCCGTTTGTTACACCCAAGCTGCAAGCGAAACAGCGCGTCGTTCTCCTCTCATTTCCTCCATTCGCTGAGCCTTGATGATGAGCATGGTCGGGAAGACTAATCCTCAGCTCGAGGTTTAAGTCTGGGAAATTTTCTTCGACTGGGCACTCATTTTTCTCCTCTTTGCACACGACCATTAACCCCTTTGTGTTTTCCTCTTGCTTTTCCGGGAATGTGAAATTTTCCTGGGAAATTTCGGCCTTTGGAGGAGAAGGAGAAGTGAAGGAGATAAGGGTATTATTGTTAGCAGAATCTAGGGTTGGTTTGGAATCTTGAGAAGCTGAGTCGTGGAGAGGTCTGTGGGTGGTCGGATCAATGCCTCTGCTTAGGAGCTTTCTTCTTATGTGAGTGTTCCAATAGTTCTTTATCTCGTTATCAGTTCTTCCGGGCAATCTCCCAGCGATGAGCGACCATCTGTTCAACACAAGCAAAAGGGTATATAGATTTGTGGACGATGAACCCTAATAATGGAGGAGAATGGAAAAAAGGAAGAGACTTGTTGCCGAGGAGGCTGTGGAGCTTGATGATGAGTTCGTCTTCTTCGCCGGAGAAGTTGCCTCTCTTGAGGTCGGGACGGAGGTAATTGATCCAACGGAGACGGCAGCTTTTGCCGCAGCGGAGGAGGCCGGCGGCTTTGGGAAGGGAACGCCAGCAGCCCTCGCCGTGAGCTTTGATGTACGCAATAAGGCGGTCGTCTTCTTCCTTGGTCCAAGCCCCTTTGTTGGTGTGCTCCTTCTCACAGCACGGTGACCTTCCCATTTTCTTTTTTACTTGTCCTAAATTAATGTCTTAAAGGGCATACATGCATATAAAAGCGACTTGGTGTATAGATATAGATATATATAATGTTTTGACTTGGAGAGAGAGAGAGAGAGAGAAACTATCACCTACTCAATAATTGCTTCTAGATGATGATGCATGGGGAGAGAAGATGAGATGGAGAGTTGGTGTGAAGGTTTTGGACTTGGAAGGGAGTGTGTGTGTATCTATATGTATGGTGGCCTTTCCTTTCCTTTTTTTTTTCTGTAAATCATTGCGAGTGATATCTTGACATGCCATGCCATTATATCCATTTGTCTACATGCACATATTTTTCCATGCAGCCCATCTTCACTGTGATGATAATGATAATGATGATGATAATGATAATGATGATGATGATGATGATGATGATGATGATGATGACAATAATAATATTTTTTATAATGATTAATAATAATAATATTTGTTTTATAATGATTAATAATAATAATAATAATAATAATAATAATAATAATAATAATAATAATAATAATAATAATAATAATAATAATAATAATAATAATAATAATAATAATAAAAGGCAGTTAGGTGTAAATTTATGGAGTGATATTTGTACATGTGTTGTGTAGGTGAACTAAAGTCCGCGAGTTCTCTCTTTAATCTTTATCAAATCGACTGCCTTAATTATAAGTGGCAATCTGTAAACCAATTTTGATCATTGGAGTATTTGATAACCAATATTAATTAAGAAAACACTCTACCCGTTGTAAAACATGGATGCACTAGTCATCTAAACTTGGATATAGTCTAGTGGTAAGAGAACATGCAAATCATGTTTTTATACTAGATTCAAATCCATACGTGTGGAGAGACATTCACTTAGACTTCCCGATTCTCTGGGAGATATAGTTGGACCAAATGGACGGTGAACTTTCGGATTATAAAAAAAACATGCAGTGGACGTATGTATTCTCCCCAAAGTTATGTACCTTATAATATCTTAGATGTGAATGTAAAATAGAGAACTAAAGACATTTATAGCAACCATTATCCGTTAAACAAATAGGACCATGCATATATATATACACACACACAGTATTATAGTGTATATGTGTGTTTTTGTCTATATATACATATATATGCGTGTGTGTGTTTGTAGGTGAGGAAGATAAAAATCTGATTTGGAGTGAAATTTGGTAGGTTGGGTATGGTGGGGTATTATGTATACAAAAAAGGGGTAAAATAATGGGGAGAAAGATTTTTGATAGGTAGAGAGATTGGCAAAAGTGGAAAATGGTAGTTGCATTTCTTTATTCTCTTGGTACACTATCCACTCACATATCACACACACACTCTCTCTCTCTCTCTCTCTATATATATATATATATAGCAAGGAAAAAAGAATGGGCTTCTAGAAGTGGAGGTTGAAAAAACTGAAAGTGGCCATCATCATCATCATCATCATCACCACCACCATGTAACATCAAACCTAAATATATCCTTACAATATGTACTGTACATCTATAATTCCATATATATATATATATACACGCACAAATATATTTCATCGTGATGTGATGTGCGACATGTAATACGCGTATTAGCCTAATCAATAAAATAGCGTGTCGAAATCGAAAAACAGTTAGGGATTTGGTTCAATTTTATTTTTATTTGTATGGGATGGCAATTATGGCGTGAGGATCCATCTATCTATGACCACAGTTTTTTTTTTCGCAATAAAGGCAGGCGGATCTACCAATGACCAATATCATTTGTACATCATATCAATAATGGAACGCACCAAAACAATCAGATTTTAGTTTCCCCTCTGTTTGCAATGAAAATTGCTGGAGCCTATAATCAGCTCGAGATGCGATATTTAAATATTTAAATAAAAACAGGCAAATGATTGAGATTTTTGAGAAGGGTTGATGTGGGGAATACAGAGAGAGAGAGGTAGGTCCACAAGTGTGAATAAAATCTTGAAAGATTAGAAAGAAAAAGGTTGAGATAGATTCTTAGGGAGCAGTGCGCCACTCGAGCTCCAGCTGAATCTTGCCGTTTTTGGAATCGATCAGGTGAAACTTGTCGTTGATCCGTTTGTTGCTCACAACGTCCGCCATTTGTATCTCCACATACCCCAACGACTCCTACCCATTACCAAACACAACACAACGTCTGTTTAAGACTACTGTCTCGATCCATCATCATGTATCTGAATCAAGGTTGCCAATTTACAAATATCGTCCCTTTTAAAGGCGGGTCATATATATATATATACCTTTGGATGGAGAAGACCTATCCTTGTGGACGTGCTGAGAACCTCCACATGCATTTTGTCACGGACCGGAGGCTCTTCCAGCATGAACGTAAACTCTTCTCCCCACCTCGGGTCTCTGTTCTTCTTCACTTGCTGTACAGATTCACCAACTCTCAATTGAGTTTCTTATTATGCAACACTAGTTTTACTCAGCTACAGATTCCCATGTGTGTGAACACACATGCATACCTTAGTTCTCTTCTCTTCCCCTCTGAAGAATATCCGAACGTAAGGGTTAGTATGGTGCTTCCCTTCAACGTCCTGAGCTTCGTGCACTATCACAACGAGCAGCCCCCCAGAAGCCGGAGTTCCTTCTGGAGCTTTCTGCACAGTCTGCGTCTCTCCGAAGCCTTTGGGCATTTCGTCCTCGGAGAAGGGCTTATACAAGAGCTCAACCTCCAGCTGCCCACGAGACTTCTCCGTCTGAGCAGCCTCTCCTTCTTGGCTGGGCGTCAGAGTCTTACACAGATCCAATTTGAAGGTTTTAGGCTCCTCAGGTGTCAGATCCTTCAGCGGTAACACATTCATACCCATCTTGTCGTGTTTGCCAACCTACACAGGAAAAAGAGAGAAAAAGGTCTTCAAGTCTCAACTCCATCCAAGAACCCCCAGTGTGCAACCCATAGGCCCGGAAACATGAGATTCCAGCCAATCAGTTCAGAAACGAGTAGCTTGCCTGTTCCCAGTCGTACACATTGAACTCTAGAACCTGAGTCTGAGGATCTCTAACAGAAAATTTGAACTCCTCGCCCCATTCAGGATTCAAGTTCTTGTGTTTCACAGTGGTCTTCTTGGACGGGACCTTGTCATCAGAAAGCTTAATTTTCACATATGGGTCTGATGCGCCCAGAAGGTCTTTCTTTCTCAACCCTATCGCCCTCACGACCTTCACATGGAGAATTCCAATGGGTCTTCTGTGGGCTCTGCATGTTATAAATTAAGGTTGCTAAGTTTTGAAGAAGGTGAAAAACGTGGAACATTCAGAAGAAAAAGGTGGAGTGCCCTACTTTGCCGGGTCAAGAATTGGAACTACCAGGGTCTTGGGCCAGAGATACATGTTTGCCACTTGATCTTTAATGAGCTCCTGTTTAGTTAACAAGGCAACCAAACTGTCACGAATCAAAATTCAGAACCAGAAGACAATGTAAAAACAAAAAGACCATGCCGCTTCCACAAGGTATGTTTATCAGCTACACAAGAAAAAGTTCCCTCCATCAGCTGATACGGACTTTCAAAACAAATCCTCACGATAAAAATAGAAACCAGAGAAGAGAGTGCAGTCCTTGTGACAGATTCATTTTCACACCCGCCTCATAAATCGATTTCTGAGTTAACAAGTTCAGATATCTAAATAAAGGACCAACTCAGTTCGTATCCCCATCTAGTGGGCGTGCTGGGGAAGGGAATATATTAGGTCACCTTACCCCTACATTTTAATGTAGAGAGGTGGATTCGACCCCGCGATCTCAGACCCCACGGTAAATGGTTTTACCGCTGAGCCAAGTCGGCCCTTCCTTCAGATATCTAAATGAAGAGGAAAAATCGACACTAACCTGGACAAATCTGTAAAGGCCAGGGATTGACATAAGATCAGCCCCACCAAGTTTCAGCCCAAAATCAACATGCGGCTGCAGAGCAGCAAGCAGCAGTCAAGAGCAAGTCTACCCAGAAACAAAAGCAGAATAAATCATGATAAATGGTCTGATAAAAAGAATGTTATACAGCATACCTTTTCCATGAGAGAGACAAATATATTAGCAAAACAAGGAAAACTTGGGACCAACGGCTTGAGAGTGATACGTGGCTCGGCAAAAACTTGTAGATCCACCACCTGATAAATTTTCCTCAAAAAAGCTCAAGTGTAAGTGTCAATCAATATACAATTTTTTTTAAATGAAAATTTCACATGTTTTCCTTGTTTTTGCATGTTGCTGCTGAATAATTTATTACCTGAACTGTCGCCTTCAACCCATATGCCCTGACAGCCACTGTGACATTAGGATTCGCAGCCCATTTGATGCAAGGTTCCATAATCAACTCCTTCTCTTCTGTGATGTAAACTTTCATCCCTGAAAAAAGCTAAAAAGACACTTGTAAATCTCTCTGTTAATTCAAAACTATCTCCAGCATCCATATTTGCAGATAAACAACTTTTCCTCAGGCTTCTAGTTGTGAAGAAAAGAATGTTCAAGGAAATGCCATTGGTAAGAGAGGAAACAGATATCCCACCTTGAAATGTTGGAGGTAAAGAACCTAATGTAAGTGTCTCAAATTCAACAGAATCAATCTTGTATTTGGGTATCTGCTCCTCGATTATTGGCTTTGCTATATTTTTGGCAGTCTTACAAATGGCCTGCTCAAAAAAAAAATAATGGAGAGACACAATATTCAAAACTAAAAAAAAAAAAAAGAGAGAGAGAAGGAAGCTGAACTATCAACAGGATACGAGAGCAAGTTAATAATATACAGAACCTTGTCAAGGAAAGGCCACATGTACTCTATGAACCTGTTTAACCAATCGACCTGGTTAAAAAAGAAAGAGAGACAGTCACCCATGAGAGACAAGTTAACCCATAGATATTAGAGTAAAGATAAAGATGAAAATTGTATATCACATACACGATCGAAATCTGGATTTTTCACCCATAGTGGTATCTCTGGAAGCATCCGTTGCATAGCATTAGGGTCTTGTTCAGCCAACGGGCGGATTTCAGGATCCTAAAGCGAGTGAGAGGAGAAGACACATCACCAATAAAATGATTACCACAAATTTAGGTTATAAAATGACCATGTTAAAAAAAATTACACAAACCCCTATACCGATTATAGAAAAACCTAGAAAATATGAAACAAGAAATCCATCACAAAAAAGAACGTTCATTGTCCACAGGCGAGACAGCTGAAAGTATAAGATTATAGATAAATGCAGAAAAGCGTACAGTATGCACTGGATCACGGAATTCAAACCACTAGAATGGTTGGTAAAAATGTTCAGCTAGGATGTCCAAATCCTGTCCTAAAACCATTGCCCTCACAAATGCAAGCAAGATGAAACTATCTATGGCAAAGAAAATAAGAGCATAGATCCTTAGGAAAAATCGTATGCTTTGCTTAATAAAAAAGGATAGCTGAGCCCATTCCACATACAAAAGGCAACTCAAAATAGGATTATATGTACACCCATGCGCAGAAATGCTGAAACATGAGTTCAACGACTAGCTTTAGCCACAGAATTCTATCCATGTCAAGGCCAGACGAAGAAATCAGCTGGAATTTTCAACGAGTGTCCTAAAAACTTTGTTTTCGACAAAAATAAGTGATAAACAGCCATTTTCCACGATGAGATGGACAAAAAGACAATGCTTAAGCTCCGCACGTCTCGGTATCACAATCAAAATCTTCTCGGGACAAACCAAACCAGTAATTACCAAGGAAAAACAATTGTCGAGCAATCAGTCCGATCCATTTGCTGATGTAGGCTATGGACATTCTACGCAAGCAGGCAATAAACACAAAGGCACAAACATAGGATATACAGAACTAGACGATATAGAAACGATTATACCAACGGATGAACCAAAAACACTCTAATCGAGGAAGCCAACCTTCACGTCGCTGGGCTGCACGTAGATGAAAAGCAAATACCCAATAACAAGTCCCAGCGAAATCCCAACTCCAAATCCGCAAAACCCTAGTATAGTACTGAAGAAGCCCATTTCGATGTTCCCTTTCGTTTCCAGATCCCGCGACGCGAACTTTCTCAGCAACCAAACAAAACCCTGAAACTTTCTGGGGAGCACAGACAAAGCCAGATCAGGAAATTTTCCTTCCTACGGCCGAGACACAGATTCCAAACCACCTGTCTTGTTAAACCCTCTCTTGGAAATCCGACAAGACAGCAACCCGAAAGAAATGGGCCCAAACGTCACAGATTTTCGTCCTCGCGACCGATCCCAGTACGAGCTGCGGATTACAACTTCCGACAAGTGGAAATTTGACTTCACCAGGATTGCGAGATTTACGGCCGTTGATGGAGATCCATGGACGTGGAAATTGATTGGAAACGAACAGGTGTACAGAGAATCGTGAAACGCAGAAGACACGCGAAGAGTGCTAAGAGAGTAAGGTTGGTGTATATTTAATTATTTTTTGTTAAACAAATCACTCCCACTTCAGATTGGTTGTTCCATTATTTACCCTACAGTATTCAAAATTTACGTTTCTACCACATACTTTGTGTTGTCTTTATTAAGCCCCGCAGCAGTTTTATACCAATTTATATGATATTTATAGTTTCCCATATGTTAGATGGAACATATTGACAATATTTTGAATAAACAAAGTAAATATTTAACATCATACATATGGTTACGCTATTTTCGGTTAGTGATTTGGAGTAGCGATCCGTCTGAAACGAATGGGGTAGAAACTGAAAACAATGAATAATAGGAGGGTGAGAATGAAAAATGGTTTTTTGTTCTTGTTTCTATCTGCCTTTAGCGACCTCTTAGCCTTGGAAATTGGGCCACCTTATGGGCCCATCTTTAACAAGAGCCCATGCATCTCGCCACGTGTCATGTACTCTTAATCCTCTTGAGAAAAAGATATCGATGACGGCCTCGCCCGCCCGCCCGCCCGCCCGCCCGAAGGGCTGAGCGCATACGATTCCCACTCTCTCCGTAGCGGACAAAATAACATAGCAACGGGAGGTTGAAGATGCCGACATTGTGACGGGATACCCTAAAACACTTGGCACGTGGGAATCCGGTAAACCCTTTGGAATTTCAAGATTCCGTTTCTTGAAAAACAATAACGTCGAAATCATCGACTACGCATCATTAGTGTCGTGGTTAAAAGAATACATTTTATAAGTATGTAAAATGATTGGGGGTGTAAATGTAATAGCATACTGTATATTTTTATACGCACACTGAAAACCAACATTTGTAATAAATGTGTTGCATATGTATGTTCCATAGTCTTGGGTCCAAGGCTTGTAAAAGCACGACAAAATGGATTCGATCTTTCAGCCCCTCGACATCTCATACTTGGGATATAAAAACATATCTAAATTTTAATATCTAACAAAACAATAATTCAATCTATGAACAAACTAATTGTCTTTTTTTTTTTTGTAATTGGGTATCTTGGATCGAAGTCTACACTAATCAGATATCATGTGATTGGAGTTACACTCATTTCTAACTTGAGACTCGAACTCGAGATGGAATAGACGCTTTGCGTTTTCGTTTCACCAATTGAACTATCAAAATTGGATGAACAAGTTAATCGTTAATTTCTATGTTACGTTTTTCTATACAATTTACGAAAACAATAGACGTATTTCGAAACATTATTCACATCCGAATTTTCCCTCGCCATATTTTGTGTCCATAACTCCGAACTATATGGTATGATACGATTGGGAAAACAAAAAAAATAAAATAAAACTGAAGATCGCTGAATTTCATGAAAAAAATCCCAAAAATCACGATAAAATAAGAGAGGAGCGAACACGTCGCGCATCCCGTGTCAAAATACTTGTTGCAAAACGCCTGTAAGGAAAGGGAAAGAAAAGAGAGAGAGGAGGCGATATCGTATTCGCGTCTATATATCGTGAAAAGCCCCTTTCTCCCACCCTTTATTCCCCACTCGATTAGGGTTTTCTAATCGTGTGTCCTCTCTCTCCATACCGGTCCCTGAATCTGCTGTTCGTATCCTCGATTTCTGTTTGCTCCCAATCCCAGTGTTTTGGAATTACTAGGTTCAGGTTTGGTTTCTGGTCCGGAAGAGGCTCTTCTCCGCCCTGTTGTCGGTGTATTGCGCTTGTGCGATTCCGGAGGAGATTAGAGATTCTGGATTTAGGCGAGGCTTTCTTCGCCGTCGCGTGTGATTTCCGAGGGAATTGGGTAACTTTCCTTTGTGGGTGGAATATTCCGTGTCGCGGGTGAGATGCGATTGAGTGTGCGATCAGAATCTGTCTGATCGAGCTAATCCCACTTCGGGGGTTCCTTCCTTTGTATGGAAACTCGGAGCCGCAAGCGGGCGGAGGCCTCCTCTACTGCGCCCTCTTCTTCTTCATCGCCCTCCGGTCCCACCACCCGCAGCAAACGCGCTCGTCTCTCGTCCTCCTCCGCCGCCGTCGCTGCTACCGCCAGAAGCACCCGCTCTCGCTCCTCTCGTACCGCTGCTACTGCATCAGCTTCGATGGACACCTCGACGGAGTCGTCTGGATATCGCCGTGGCGGAAGGGGTAACAGGCGTAATGATAATAGCAGCTCCGATAAGGGAAAGGAGAAGGAACATGACATTAGGATTAGGGATAAAGATAGGGAAGGAGATAGAGACAGAGAGCAACTTAATATGGATGCCATGGGTGCTGGTAGTAAGAGTGGTGACGAAGACGATGACAATGATAGTGGGGATGAAAATGGGGGATTTATGCATCCGAACATGAGTTCTGCTAGCAGTGCTCTACAAGGGTTGTTGAGGAAGCTTGGAGCTGGACTTGATGACTTGCTTCCATCCTCGGGCATCGGATCAGCCTCTTCTTCCCACTTGAATGGGAGGCTGAAGAAAATACTCTCTGGCCTGCGCGCAGATGGAGAAGAAGGGAAGCAGGTTGAGGCTCTGACCCAGCTTTGCGATATGCTATCCATTGGGACTGAAGACTCCCTAAGCACCTTCTCAGTGGATTCTTTTGTGCCGGTTCTTGTTGGACTGCTCAACCATGAGAGCAATCCCGATATAATGCTTCTTGCAGCGAGGGCTCTTACTCATCTATGCGATGTTTTGCCTTCATCTTGTGCTGCGGTTGTTCATTACGGTGCGGTGTCGTGCTTTGTTGCCAGACTGCTTACCATAGAATACATGGACTTGGCTGAACAGGTTGGTTTTCTTCACATGAATTCAATTATTGTTGAACTTATGATGTTATCTAGAAATCAGGAATCATGTCATCCAGTTGATTGAGCTTACCAAATGTTAAAAATTAGAATCACGTTGTATTGCTGGAATCGATTATTAATTAATCTTATAGCTCTGTTATTGATTACACACTAAAGAAGCTACTTGCAATAGATTACGCGGAGGCTTTCTTCAAACTTTGCATATGCCTGAGGCAATTGCTACTGATTTCTAGTGGCTTGGTATGCGTGATTTTTTATTTGTATTTGGGATGTGTTCTACAGTCTTTGCAGGCTCTCAAAAAGATATCGCAGGAGCACCCTACTGCTTGTTTGCGAGCTGGTGCTCTCATGGCGGTGCTCTCATATCTGGATTTCTTCTCCACTGGAGTTCAGGTTAAAAATGATTGGTTTATTCTGTCATGCTTTATGAACATGGGCAAACAGCACTTGTACCTGGGAAGCTGTATTGTATCTAATTTTTATATTTTCATGACTTTGTTGTAGCGTGTAGCACTGTCTACTGCTGCAAACATGTGCAAGAAGCTTCCGTCTGATGCAGCCGATTATGTTATGGAAGCCGTACCATTGTTGACAAACTTGCTTCAGTATCATGATGCAAAAGTAAATGATTTTTCTGCTCTTTTCAAGTGGGATTAGGGAGATGCCGTTTTACCTCGTTTCCTCTGACTTTCATTCAAATGATGGCAGGTTTTGGAGTTTGCTTCTATTTGCCTTACACGGATTGCTGAAGCGTTTGCATCATATCCCGATAAATTGGATGAACTATGCAATCATGGACTGGTGTCTCAAGCTGCTTCTCTTATCTCCACTAGCAACTCAGGAGGTGGGCAAGCATCTCTCAGTGTGTCAACTTACACTGTAAGTAAAAATCTATTTTTCCCTCTCCTGTGTTCTGTTGAAGTATAGAATTTTCACATTCATTGTATGTAGGGCGTAATCCGATTACTTTCCACTTGTGCGAGTGGATCACCTCTTGGAGCCAAAACATTGCTTCTTCTTGGTATTAGTACCATTCTCAAGGATATTCTGACTGGTTCTGGTGTCTCTGCTAATGCATCTGTCTCCCCAGCATTGAGTAGACCCGCTGACCAGGTGATACTGCTTGATATCACATTCTGCTTCATTATCATTCTGTTCCATGTCTGACTTAGATGCCTCATCCATTCAGAAGAAATTTAAAATAAATTTATGTTTCTTCAATTCGCTTTGGACAGTTCTTTTGGATTTCAGCCCATGATTCACTAGTGCTTAATTTTTTTATTTTTTTTTTGAGCTTTAGAGTTTTCCAGAAGTCTAACTTCTAATTGCGTTGATTAGATTTTTGAGATAGTGAACCTGGCAAATGAGCTCCTCCCTCCATTACCACAAGGTGTTATCTCCCTTCCAACTAGCACAAATATTTTTGTGAAAGGTTCTGCTGTGAAAAGATCTCCACCAAGAGCTTCAGGAAAACAAGAGGACACAAAAGGAAATCCTCCAGAAGCTTCACCTAGAGAGAAATTGCTTGATGAACGACCTGAACTTTTGCAGCAATTTGACATGGATCTTCTTCCAGTTTTTGTTCAGGTAAATTTTGCTTCTTTCACAATGTCATTGTCATGGTGCACAAGTAATGTGAACTGTTGTGTACTTACAAATCCTTGTTACTTTTTTTTTTAAACAGATTTATGGTTCTAGTGTCAATGGTTCTATTCGCCATAAATGCCTCTCTGTAATTGGAAAATTGATGTACTTCAGTACGCCTGAAATGATTCAATCTCTTCTTGGTGTTACAAATATATCGAGGTATGCTGCTTGATGAACTCACTGTCATGTTTGCTTCTGACTTCTAAATGCATCTGCTTACTCTTTTTCTTTTTTCCTTTTCCTTGTTGTAGCTTCTTGGCTGGTGTCTTGGCATGGAAAGATCCACAAGTCTTGGTTCCTTCCCTTCAGATTGCTGAGATTTTAATGGAAAAGCTTCCTGAAACTTTCTCCAAAATGTTTGTTAGGGAAGGGGTTGTTCATGCTGTCGATCAACTTGTCTTGGTTGGTAAACCAAACTCTCATGCTTCTTCTGTAGACAAGGATAATGATTGTCTTGCTGGATCTGCACGATCTAGGCGCTACCGGCGGCGGAGTAGCAATGCTAATTCTGATGGAAATCCACCCGAAGATCCCAAGAATTCTGCTTCCATGAAGGTAGGTGGATCCCACAATTCGATGGAAACTCCTACTGCAAGCTTCACACTGAGGGAAACAGTTAGCTCATGTGCTAGAGCATTCAAAGATAAGTATTTCTCATCTGATGGAGGAGATCTCGATGTTGGAGTTACAGATGATCTTTTGCATTTAAAGAATCTTTGCATGAAGCTAAATGCTGGTATAGATGATCAAAAGGTGAAAGCAAAGGGAAAATCTAAAGCTTCTGCACCATGCCTTGGTGATTTTTCTGCCAACAAGGAAGAATATTTGATTGGTGTTATTTCTGAGATACTTTGGGAACTAAGCAAAGGGGATGGTGTGTCTACGTTTGAGTTTATAGGCAGTGGTGTTGTTGCAGCATTGCTCAACTATTTTTCCTGTGGATATTTTTCCAAGGAGAAGATCTCAGAAGCTAATTTACCTAAACTTCGGCGGGAAGGACTCAAAAGGTTCAAGGCTTTCCTAGAAGTTGCACTTCCTTCTAACGTTGATGAGGCAAAGGTTCCCCCAATGACCGTTTTGGTTCAGAAGCTTCAGAGTGCTTTATCTTCGCTGGAGCGTTTTCCAGTAATGCTTAACCATCCCTCCGCCAGATCTCTAGGTGGGAGTGCTCGCCTCTCCTCTGGCTTGAGCGCATTGGCACACCCTTTAAAATTGCGATTATGCCGTGCCCAAGGAGAGAAATCTCTACGTGATTACTCATCCAATATTGTACTTATAGATCCACTGGCAAGCATAGCAGTGGTTGAAGAATTCCTTTGGCCCCGAGTTCAGCGAGGTGAATCTGGTCTGAAGCCAGCTGTGGCTATTGGAAATTCTGGGTCAGGGACAATGCCTAGTGGTGCGGGAGTTTCATCACCATCTTCTTCCACTCCAGCTTCCACAACTCTTCGCCATTCTTCTAGATCTAGATCAGCGATTAACATAGGCGATACCCCGAAGAAGGAGCCACTGCATGAGAAAGGGAGCAGCTCATCTAAAGAAAAAGGTAAAGCTGTTTTGAAGTCTGGTCAGGAGGGTCCACAAGGGCCTCAAACGAGGAGTGGCTCTCGAAGGAGAGCTGCACTTGACAAAGATACACAAGTGAAACCTGTGAGTGGAGACTCGAGTTCCGAGGTACAATTTTCTGTATTGGTGGTGATATCTTTCTCGGTGTAGTTTACACAGCTGTCTTGTTTTACAGTGCGCACTTCTATTTACGTGTACTTAGGGGGAGTCATTGATCTTATCCATAGTTGATTGGGAGCCTACCACTAGCTCGACAGCCTCGACTCATTTATGTCGATGAGGATAGAGGTCTAGGGTCAGTTTTTGTTGGTATTGGAAATATAATTTGGCTATAGGTGGTGGTGGTGGGGATCCTCTTACTAGAATTATTGTTGTTTTGGGATTCTTTAATTTTTGTAGTTGTCACTCTTCTTTGCTATCTTTCACTTGTACTTCATATTTATAGTGTTAGAAGACTGCTTTGTCATTTGTGTTACTAAATGCTGTCGACATGATCTCCTTCTCATTTTTTTTACATTATCTACTTGTATACTTCTTTGTAGGATGAAGAATTGGATATGTCTCCTGTGGATATTGATGATGCTTTGGTGATTGAAGAGGATGATATCTCTGATGATGATGATGACGATGATGATGATGATGATCAAGAAGATGTAAGTTATCCTTTGTTTGATGTAAGCCATTTTTATTGCGTTGTGCAGCTTGTGCTGTCATTACTCAGCTGACATAAATTGAACTACTAGCTGTATGAATGACCATCACTTTCATTATATTTTGGTTGCAGTATGCTAATAACAATACATATTGCGTTTTGGTGGTGAACTTATTCTTTTTTTTTTACTATACCGCTTGAGCATATATTATTCTTTTTCAGGTTCTTGATGATAGTCTCCCCTTATGCACGCCTGATGAAGTGCATGATGTGAAATTGGGGGACTCGATTGATGATGATAGTAATGGTCCCACAGCCAGTGATGGTCGAATGAATCCAGCTCCAGGTGCTACCAGCGGAGTAGCTGCAGCAAGGGGTTCTAATTCTACTGATGTTGGTACTGGGAATTCCTATGGTTCCAGGGGTGCTGACTTTGCTGCAGCTGCAATGGCTGGGTTTGGATCTGCCAATGGTAGAGGTATCAGGGGGAGTAGAGATCGACATGGGCGTTCTCTGTACTGTAGTTCAGATGAGCCCCCTAAGCTGATATTTACTGCTGGAGCAAAGCAGCTTGGTAGACATTTGACGATTTATCAGGCTGTTCAGCGACAGCTTATGCTGGATGAATATGATGATGAGAGGTTTGGTGGCAGCGATTTCATCTCAAGCGATGGAAGCAGGTACAACGATATTTACACCATTATGTACCAGAGGGCAGACAACCATGTGGATCAGTTGTCAGTTGGTGGAGCAAGTTCTACTTCATCTTCGAAATTGACTAAATCTGCCGCTGGTTTGAGCTCAGAATCTCAGTCACATAGGGCATCTCTTCTGGATAGTATCTTGCAAGGGGAACTGCCATGTGATCTTGAGAAGTCAAATTCTACATACAATATATTGGCTTTGTTGCGTGTGCTGGAGGGTTTGAATCAGCTTTCCTCTCATTTAAGAGCCCAAATAGCGTCTGATCATTGGGGATGATGCAGCACTCATCAAATGCAACTGCAGCATCGAACGGGACAGGAGCTTCAGAGTCAGCGGATGATGATTTGCCAAGTGTCATGACATGTGCAAACTACCTTAAGCTCCCTCCGTACTCCACAAAGGTACTCTTGTCCTGTCTACTCTGTCTGTCTACAGCCACTGTAGACTTACTAGGAGAGGGAGCTTTGGAAAAACTCACGGGCTGTGTATTGTGTACAGGAAATCATGCATAGGAAGCTGATGTACGCGATCAACGAAGGGCAAGGATCTTTTGACTTGTCATAAATAAATCTCTCGCGGACGGGGGAACTTACTCTGGTGTACATCACAAGGAAAGACCAAGAGTTGCTTATTGATTTTGATTTTTCTTTTTTTCTACTCTGCTGGTTTGGTTGCTTTCTATTGAAGAAGGTGGTTCCATTTAAAGCCATTGGTTTTGGTGTTTGCATTGCAGCTGAAGAGTTCATAAATAGTAAACTAACCCCCAAATTAGCCAGACAAATTCAAGATGCGCTTGCTTTGTGCAGTGGGAGTCTTCCTTCTTGGTGCTACCAGCTGACTAGGGCATGTCCGTTCTTGTTTCCTTTTGAGACCCGAAGACAATATTTCCACTCCACTGCTTTTGGATTGTCTCGAGCATTGTACCGTCTTCAACAGCAACAAGGTGCTGATAATAGTGGGACTGCAAATGAAAGAGAGATGAGGATAGGGAGATTGCAGCGTCAGAAAGTCCGTGTGTCCCGAAATAGGATTTTAGATTCTGCTGCAAAAGTTATGGAGATGTATTCTAGTCAGAAGGCTGTACTTGAAGTCGAATATTTTGGTGAAGTTGGCACTGGCTTGGGTCCTACCCTTGAGTTTTACACACTCCTAAGCCATGATTTGCAAAAACTTTCTCTTGGGATGTGGAGATCTAATTCTGGAGACAAGAGACCCATGCAAACGGACGGAGATGAAGGTAAGAAGGGAAAATCATCTGCAGCTACTGACGGAGATTTAGTTCAAGCACCTCTTGGATTGTTTCCTCGACCTTGGGCTCCAAATGTCGATGCTTCCGAAGGCACACAATTATATAAAGTAATCGAGTATTTCCGGCTTCTTGGGCGAGTAATGGCAAAAGCCCTTCAAGATGGCCGACTGTTGGACCTGCCATTGTCTACAGCATTTTATAAACTTGTTCTTGGCCAAGTGAGTTTTTGCCTAGCAGTACACTTGGTTTTATGGCTTCTATTGATATGGCAGTATTTAATTTATTCACTTATGCAGGAGCTTGATTTGCCTGATATTGCTTCATTTGATGCTGAAGTTGGCAAGACTTTACATGAACTGTCTGTCCTTGTTGACCGAAAACACTATCTGGAATCAGTAGGTGGTGACAACCGCAATGCGGTTTCTGATTTACATTTCCGTGGATCCCGGATAGAAGACCTCTGCTTGGACTTCACACTACCTGGCTATCCCAATTATATCTTAAAACCAGGAGATGAAACTGTATGCAGTCTTTGTTTACATTTCACATATTTCTGCTTCTAGTTTGAGCCTTGTTAAAGATGTCTGATGTATGTATTCTGTTGCCAGGTTGATATTAATAGTCTTGAGGAATATATATCCCTGGTTGTTGATGCAACAATTAAGAGAGGAATCGCTCGACAGATGGAAGCTTTCAGATCCGGGTTCAATCAGGTTTGCTCTGTTTCCTTGCCAATATTTTTTGATGCCTTGCCTTTTTTTGATTGAATATAGAAATACTTTTGTATGTAATTGTAACTTTGCATTCATTGGTGTGTTTATCCGGGTTCAACTGTTTGTATCAAATTTCCCTTAATTGGCAGGTGTTTGACATCACATCTCTGCAAATATTCACACCGTTTGAATTGGATTACTTGCTCTGTGGTCGAGGAGAGCTGTGGGAGGTAAACTTTAAGTTTCCCGTATTCCATAATTACAGGACAAGACGTGAAACGTGTCACGCTTCTGAAATTCTTCATGTCTTGCAGGCGGAGTCACTAGCTGAACATATCAAGTTTGATCATGGTTATACTGCCAAGAGTCCAGCAATAATCAATGTACAACTATTTTCGAATTATTTCCCTTTCTCCTTCTCCTTTGTTAATGGTAATATCCTTAACTGAATCTGACCCACCTTCTAGTTGCTGGAGATCATGGGAGAATTTACAGCAGAGCAGCAGCGGGCTTTCTGCCAATTTGTTACTGGAGCTCCCAGGCTTCCTTCTGGCGGCTTGGCAGTTCTAAATCCAAAGCTGACTATTGTGAGAAAGGTAAAGCTATAAATGTAGATATGGTTCTAAACACCTTCTGGCACTGTCACAGTGTCACTACAGAAGCCTTCAGATTTCCTGCATTACCGCAAACTTGTTATCAGGCCAACCCCACCCGTTTGAGTTCTAAGATAATACTTTTTTTTTGGGTTGTTGTCGGGGGATGATGCAGCACTCATCAAATGCAACTGCAGCATCGAACGGGACAGGAGCTTCAGAGTCAGCGGATGATGATTTGCCAAGTGTCATGACATGTGCAAACTACCTTAAGCTCCCTCCGTACTCCACAAAGGTACTCTTGTCCTGTCTACTCTGTCTGTCTACAGCCACTGTAGACTTACTAGGAGAGGGAGCTTTGGAAAAACTCACGGGCTGTGTATTGTGTACAGGAAATCATGCATAGGAAGCTGATGTACGCGATCAACGAAGGGCAAGGATCTTTTGACTTGTCATAAATAAATCTCTCGCGGACGGGGGAACTTACTCTGGTGTACATCACAAGGAAAGACCAAGAGTTGCTTATTGATTTTGATTTTTCTTTTTTTCTACTCTGCTGGTTTGGTTGCTTTCTATTGAAGAAGGTGGTTCCATTTAAAGCCATTGGTTTTGGTGTTTGCATTGCAGCCCCCCCCCCCCCTCTATCTCTCTCTTAAATGTGGACTTTGCTCAGCCGACGCCCTTGGCTTCTGCCTCTAGTCATTATATATTTTGTTCTGGCAGTACATGTACGTAGGGGTGGGCGTTTCGGAATTTTAATGGTTCGGTTCGGGAACGATATATTCGGTATTATAAAATTTGTACTAAATTAGTACCGTATATTATTCGGTTCGGTTCGGTATTATGACGGTTTGGGACGGTATGGTACTAATAAATAAGTACCAAATAAGAACCGAAATAAAAACGGTTCGAGACGGTTCATGACATATTTATAATTCATATAATATAAAAATAAAGAGATTCAACATAATAATTTTATATAACAAAATAAAAGTTTTGAACTTGTAAACTTGGAAAAAATTCAACATTAATCTCAATGCATTACGCAAACAAACTCTTAATATCAGTAAATATCATAATTAACTATTAATATTAAATATTTTTTAACTAAAAAATAAAAATACCGAAATACCGTTCGGTATTTTTCGAACCGAACCGAACCGTTCTCGAACCGTTTGGTATTTTAAATTTTGTACCGTTCGATATTTTTATATAATACCAAATCGAACCGAAACCGAATTAATCGGTTCGGTATAGTTCGGGACCAGATTCCCGAACCGAATTGTCCACTCCTACATGTACGGCCTATGCCGTTCGTTACGGAATATATATATATATATATATATCGTATGTTTTTTTTTGAAGAAATGAAACTAAATGGGTAGTTTTGGAGGTGTGAAGCTCTTAAAAAATATCTGCAAAGGGAATTAGCTCGATTTTTCGACTGGGCCTCGTCTAAGCATATATATGTATAAATGTGCAGTCAAAATCAAAACCAAGGAAGATCTGAAGCTGGGGGAATAGTGTCAAAATGACCATTAGCATTTAATCGAAAATGATATTCCAACAGGCCATGTACGAATTTCCTTTTATCTCAGCTGTCTGGGCCACGTTTTTCTAATGTCGGAATCAATTTGGGCCTACAAGGCCCAACAATATTTACAATTGGGCAATCGAATTGAGCCTCTGTCGTATGTGAGAAAAAAAAAAATGGAGATTCGGGAAACAAAAGGGGGTTCAGAGTTCAGACATTATAGAAATGCTGACATTAATTGAATGATTTAAGGCCAATTTGAGAATATTTAATACGTCGAATCCGATTCCTTCTGGTATGAACTGCGGCCCCTCTCCTCAGATCCCTTCTTCTCCCTCCTCCCTGTTTCTCCGATTCTAACTCACTCCAGTTCCAGGTACGGACTCGTTTCTTTTCCTTCTCTTCTACCTTTACATCGGTTTATTCGATTTCTCTCTCTCTTTCCTATTGTAGTTTTCGTGCTCACTGTCGAATCGATTGAAGTCGCGGTCTTCCTACATGTTTGGTTGAGATGCCTTCCTGTCTGGATTGAGTTCTTTGTGTTGCGTGATTATAATAGAACGCTCTCTTTTCCGGCGCATTGTTGGTTTGGTGAAATTGCGCTTCCGAGATACAGATCGCAAGTCGAGTCTCTAATGGCTAACAAGGGGAAACCGAGACCGGCTAAGTTGTCTGTATACCTTTACATTCCCAATATCGTTGGTGGGTTTTCCTTCTCTCCCCGTTGCAACCGGTTCATACGAGCTTCCTTTGTTTCGTTATCTATTTTTTTCCTTTTTCGTTGTCAATCTCGCATTGTCACATGTGATCGTTTGGATAACTTACTCATCATATGGTTGTTTTGATGTTATTTCTTCATGGAAATTGCAGGGTACATGAGAATTCTCTTGAATTGTGTTGCCTTTGCTGTATGCTTTTCAAACAAGACGCTCTTCTCGCTGCTATACT